CCCCTTCCCTACCCACCAGGACATGAGAGTCCATAAACATGCAAACTAAAGGGCACATCCGGTAACATCCTTTGAGAAATAAGGCTCCCCTTCCCAAATTCTAGCCTGAGACCATCACATCAGTGGGCAAATTCTCTGACTTGAAGCTGTGAGATCTGAAAGACCAACCACTCAGGACTCCTGCTCCTCTGCCTGCCCTAAGCCAGGCAGTGGGATTCCAGTGTCAACAGCACCCTCCCCTGACTCAGAGAAGGCTGGAGATGGCCCTGCCAAAAGTGGGATCCTCAGCAACCCAGCAGCAAATGCTAGGGTATCATTCTGATCTTTATTCCCCAGTTTTACTCACTTTCTGATTGGCACCTCTGTGGGCACCAAAGGAGGTTACTGTCGTGCACATATACAGCCCCATAACAAGATCCTGTAATCAGGAGTTCTCTCCCGGGACTCCCAGCGGTCTACGAGGCCTAAGCCTTACCAGAAACCAGTGCAGGTGGTAATAAAGCAGCACCTTAGAGGAGACGGCTGCTGCTGCTACCATACACACAGCAAAAGCCAACCGCTAACCTAACAAAAGCAACCTCGTTCCAACTGGATTTTCTTATTAAACAACCCTGAACATGCATGTCTGTGTGTGTTGGGGGCATCCTGTTTATTCCCCTGTGCCTGACCTACCGTCTCTGCTTTCCTTCTCTTCTCTGCCGCATTATTTCCTTTGCTTTGTCATCGCTGTTTTGCTGCTGGCGCCCTGAGCCAGCCAACAGTACCTGGTGGATGTCACAAATCCTGCTGGCATCAATTAGGACTGCAGTTTAAAGTTATTTTATATTTGGGGATGGGGATGGGGAGACTAAAAGGAAACGGAAATATACACATGATATTAGGCATGCATATCTGATGCCAATCAATTAGACCGGCACACAGGTACCAGAATGCTGACAGTGCTGAGCTGTAGGTGAGCCTTCCTCTATTTTACAAATACTCTGTCAGTAGACTTACAAAACTTAAAATGTGCACATTTTATGTATATATGCAAATGTGCATATTATGTATAGCTTTATTCATAAAATTATCATGTGTGCTGTTATTAAGTGTAAAATAAAGGCTTTTAAAAATTGGGATAACACCTTTTAAATTCCTTTCTCCCCACGAATTCTATGGAAGATAATTCCTTAAGGAAAAAAGAATCTCACAAGTCCCTTACTTTTCCCCCCAATCCTACCCTTCTCATACACACCAGACTCAAAAATGTTCTGAGCCTTACATTTTATGGAGCACTACTATAATGTGCCAGGTACTGCATTAGACACTTTGCCAATCATGGTGTTTACCCCTGCTCCCACACATCTTCAGGGGCTGGTGCTGTCACAAACTGAGGGGGACGACGACACAATCCTCAGCGAAGGTCACACTGCCAGTAAATAATAAGTAAAAGAGGGCTTCGGGCTCCAGGGCTGGCATGCCACGCACCACACCAGCTCACAAGTAACCTGTCTCAGTTCTGCGCTGGGGGCTCTGGGAAAGTCGGGGACAGTGGACAGCAGTTCCCTGATCGGGGTTATGTCGTTCCCCATCACCAGGGATCTTCAGAGCTCTGGCAAGTTTAACGGTGGTTGCCAATTTCTCTTTGAGCCAGCTAACAGCTCCTCTGAGAGTCATTTCCAAGGGGGTGGTGAGCAGTTTCACAAGCTGCCCACAGACTACCACCCAAACAAACATGTCTACATGTATTGTGACAAAGACCAACATTAAGATCCAAAGTGTTATTTCACACAGTCCCACCCCCCACCCCAAAGCCTTCTCAAACACAAACGAGGCTCTGCTACCCACCCATTACTTACAGGTACTGTCCTCAGCCAATATTTACAGGCACCCTCTGTCCCAGGAACTGCTTCCCATGTCAAATACTGCCTTTCACCACAGGATTTCCATTCCCAGAATTCTACACACATATGCAAATGTGCTACTGGGCATATTCATACTGTTTTCTTTATGGTAGAATTTCACAATTAAACAACTCTTGCCTTTAACACGTGCTACCAACTATTTAGGAAAACTATCCAAAAAAAATCACAAACTAAAAGCAAGAGGTAGGGAAAACACCACATTTGTATCTGTCTCTGGCCCACGATACGGGCGAGCAGCACTGCTTCCTCCTGGGATCCATTCTTCACAGGGAAGCTGCACCTCCTTTTTGGAAGACGCAGAGTGACCCGAGTCCTGCGCACCATCTGACAGGGGACAGCTGTGACAGAGCGCTCTGACCGGGCCCTGCGGAGCCCGTGACCCCAGCTGTCAGGCCCAGGTGGGATGCTCTCCCTCTGCCAGGTCGGCATCCGCCCGGCCAGCTGCTCACAGATTTATGTTCTAGTCACAGAGGGACTTGGATTAGTATGTAGATGGACCAAGAGGACTCACCCTGGCTACCGGAAGAATCTCCCAGGCTTCTTTTTATTTTGAGACATTCAAGCAAAAGATCAGCATGATCCTGGTGGTTAAAGTTAGTTGGGGGACCCAGGGTCAAGGTAATCTGGCAGGTGTGGAGGTGGACCGGCTAGATTTGAATCCCCCGTTTCCTACTTAACTGCTGTGCAACCTTGAGCAAGTCACTTCACCTCTCTGGCTTCACCCTCCTCCTCTGTGATTCAGTGATGACAAATCAGGAGTCCTCACAAACTGCTGCAAGAATCAGCAATAAAGTGACAAGCACCTACTACACTGTCTGGCGTGTAGCAGTTGCTTAATAAGTGGTAACTTATTCAATCAAGCCAGCCAGAGGGCTCCTAGAGACACAGTTTATCTCTAAGGCCCAGGCCAGAAGAAGGAGGCCCAAAGAAAGGTGCTGACAAACCTTCACCCAGTGCCAGGGAGAAGTTCCTGTAATAATTAATCCAAGCAAAAAGCACACTCCCTCAAGTTCAGAGAATATAAAAGGAGCACTTCCTGCTTTATGGCTACAAAGACCAAACTAACTGGGAATATCAGTCCCGCGGGCCACCCCTGCTTCTTAAATGAGATTACAATAAGAGTGATGTACTGTACTACAAGTCAGCTGTGACAAGCAGCACTTTATAGAGCTATCTGTTTGTCTCCATCACTGCATCGCGCAATGTGTCCCTGGACTCCAATGTGCAGCTCCATTTACCGCTACATGACAAATGGGCAGCACTTGTAAAAGGCACAAAGAGGTCCGCGCTGGCCATGTAATGGTCACCACAGCTGTACCCGAGTGCTTGAGGGGACAAAACAGACCCCCAAGTTCATTAAACTGACCAGTAATGGATCTTTCAAAAAGTGCCTTAGGAATCGTACGGAAAAGGCTAAAATAAATAACTCAGCATGGAAGGCTAATCTGAAATGGTGTTTGATAAATTATTTATAACACAGGCGATTGTCTGCATTTAATATTGGAGCTACTAGCAGCATCTTTAAAAGATGATTTATGTGTTGTAATGCTATTAAACTTTATATTGGCCCACTGCTGGCTATAAAGTCTGCTGAGATTTAGAGAATGAGTTTTAAACTGTCACTGCAACATCATAGGAGATGGAGACTGTATTAAATCTTTACTTTAAACCTGTTATCTGGAGAGTTGCATTTTGTAGACACTCACAAACTGATAGATTACCTTGGCCTCCGCTATGGTGCAGGTCCAAAATAGCACCGCAAAGAAACTTTCCCACACGACTCTCGTCTACAGCTACAATCGAATTTATCATCTCACCTAAGTGATTTTTACACTGGCAATGTCACCAGGGTACAGTGTAGGTGCCCTAGCCAATGGGCACCCTGGACAGCTCAGCCTCAAATTAATACTCTTTCAATAAACCTTCTGCATCCAACTGCTTAGTTATGCATTCTGAACAGTGCCTTCCTTACAAAATATGAAATATGCGTTGGACTGAAAAACTAATGTACTATTTTAGATACAGCTTTGGAAGGTGAAAGTACAAATATACGGTAAGTCACTTGAAATAATCAATTTGTAACTGAAATATTTTTAATTCTTAAAAAATGAAATTGGTTATATGCTGGGAAAAGATCTTCCATTCCCGTAGCTGCCGTGCTGCCGGGAAGGGGTTGAGAAGAAGGAAACATTCCGCCTTTTTCACGAGGCAGGGAGCCCTGCTGGCTGTCTCTCCGGGCACTGCAGAGGGCCCCCTGCCTTCCTCCCAGCACCATGCCAGTCGGGACCTCCGGCCTTTGCTCGAGGGGACTAAGGATGGGGTGGCATCCCAACTGACCTCTCACAAACTTCCATCAATTTTCTTACTTGCTGTTTACATCTGAGGATATTTATTTCATAACAGTTTGCTCCTTTGCTGAAAACTAAGGGATTTACCCACATAGAATTAAAGCAGTCCAAATTCATCTGGGAAAATCTGTATCATCTTTTATCACTCTGATCTGCTACTGCTCTGATGATCGGCAGCAGAGCAGATAAAAGTCTGGCTGTGACAGAGTTGGGTCTCTAAAAAGGGAATTAAAACCGCGCCATCTTCATCTCTGTCCTAGGCAGCCAGCACAGTGCTAGGTGTGGACATCACCATATAAACAGATAAAACATCAACTTCAAATGTATTCGTAGCTTTACCAAACTAAATGATGAAATTAATTATGAGACAAACTAATTACCAAGAGGGGGGTAATTTCAAAACCGCATCAGTCCCCCTAGGGACCAGGGAACCAGAGCGTTCAGACAGACACTCCGGAGGAGAGGTTTAGACCCAGTGACTGGCGGCGGCCTGAAGCTGTGCTGGGGTTCTGACTGTGCCACAGATGTGGCCTAAAGGAGTCGCTCATGGCTGACAGTTGGATAAAATTTAAAGAGCTCAGAAAGTGTTTAAAACAGACCCCTCTCCAAGCAGTATGCTCCCTGTATCGTGCAGAGACCTGATGTGCCCCATGTGTAGCCACGTTATCTATCTTACAGTGGGAAAAGTTAATTTAATTTTGTAGACATGGCTGAGCAACAAAAACAAAGGTGTCTGGGCTTTGGTTTGGGCTTGAGCTGTCTGGGTAAACACCATCTACTTGTGTGAATGCCTAGGAACTGTCTGGTGGAATGGAGTTGCACCGGCTGCTGGGTATGCCCAAAGGGAGGAATGAATTGGTGACTGTGTCTTTAAGGTCTAGATGGTTCCGTCATTTCTTTCCTCGGTAGCTTTTATGGCGCCCATGATCCGGGTGGTGCAGATAAGGAGGGAAAATCTGCGACGAGTGCAGGGTGATCTAAGCAGGAGTTTTCAGCAGGAATGGGGAGGGGTGCTCAGGCACAGGAACTGCCTACCAAGTCACAGCCAGCTTGGCTGTCCCAGCTTATGCTCTAGGGCACATGTGTCAAACACAAGGCCCGAGGGCCAAATCCGTCCCTCCAGGCCTTGCAATGTGGCCCGCATCTCGCTGTCATCACTGCACTCCACTGCGTTTCCATCACAATGACAGTTTATGACTGTTCAGTAAACCATTCGGCCCGCGATTTAGGCTGGATTTTAGATTTTGGCCCCTTCTCTGATTGAGTTCGACACCCCTACTCTAGGGCTAGGAGAGGGGATGCGCGCCTGGCACAGTGGGCCACAAAAGGCTGTCACAAAGCACACAGAACGAGAAATGCCAGGAGAGCTGGGTCACTAATGAGCACAGCACTTAGCTCTCAGAGCCACCGACTGCCCACTGGGAAAATGGGGATAATGCTTCTCTCCAAGGGCTACTGGAAGGAATAAAGGAACAGGAATGCACCCTAACACAGGTTTTACAAACAGATTTGATAGCAAGTTCTACGGTGGAAGGAAAGCGGCGAGGATGTGGGAAACTAACGTGGGCACCCACCGCATCCCTGGGCTGAGCCAAACATTATGTTCCTATCTCATCGTCACAATCACCACCTGTACAGCAGAGGAAACAGGTTCTAGAAAGTTGGCTGATGCACCAAAAGGCACACGGCTATGATAAGTGGGGGTGGGGGATCGTGCCAACTTACTGCCTGGCATCACCAGAGCCTATGTCTTCCTAGCCCACCAGGAGAATCAGCGGTGGGCAAGAGGTTTTGCTGGATTCTGAGACAGTGACTAGAAGGGAAAACACCTAAGCTTCCAGAGGGAAAAGGACCAAGAGAGATGGGAACATATTGCTTTCCACAAGGAGAAGAAATCAGCGCTCACAGCATATGTGTACATAAATATATATTTGCAAGGCTGCACTGAATCAAATATAATCAGAGAGAAAAAACAAGACTGGGTTTAAAGAAAGTGAGAAGCATGTTCAACAATCCTCCAAATGAAAACCAAGCTGCCCCAGGTAGTAATAAGATCTCAATGATATTTCTCTCTCCCTCCGTAAAACAATGCGGTCAGTGGGTAACTCTGCCAATATGCTCCCGGAGGTGCTGAGAAGGTTATCACCTGGAAAGAGGAGGGAAATGAAGGGAATGTGTTCCCTGGCCACACGATAAAGATAAAAAAGAAGAGCACAGTCACCCTGAGCCATCCCCTCCCTGGGCTGGAGGCTGGGAACCGCTGTGGAGGCAGGGCTGCGGGGAGGCTGTGACTGGGAACACACTGCATTGCATGATCCGCTTCTGCAGCCTCCCAGGGAGGAAGAGGGGCAGGAAGGAGACCCCAGGATGTACAGAGCACTCATCTAGGAGGTTAAAGAGGGCCACATATGAAGCCAATTTCAAACGGTATAAAACCCCTGAAAGAAGTGTACAGGTCAGTTTAGTTCCGCGAGCATTCACTGATGACACTGATGCTCTCTCTCCACAGACACTGTGCTCAACACTGGGGAGAAAGCCCGAACAGACATAGGCCTGGCCCATGAAGAGTGTAGAGTCCAAAGAGGCCAGAGGATAAGAGCCATTCTGTTAGCCAGACTGCAATTTATAAACACGTTCACCAAACAACCCCTTCAAGTGTAACCTGAGCCCGCTTACCACTGAGTTTATGTTTTATAAACCAGGGCTTCAAGGGTTACATAAGGGGCAAAAGTCAATCTTCAGACCCAGACCTCTTCAAAGCCCGTGCCCACTCTCCCCATCGCACCCTTTTCATTCCTCTTCCACCCCAATGAACTGATCGGAGTTAGAAGAAACCAATGGATCTGAATCAGAGATAATGAGTCCTAAAACCTTTTTAAAATTCTGACCTCACCAAAATCCCCATTTCAGAAAAACAATATTCCACCATTATGACAGAATGCCAATGACTACAAGTGTGACTGCATTCTACGGATACAATGTTCCCTGCATATACTTAAAAAACCTGTACTACTGTGTGGAATTTTAAAATAGCTATTTAGCACAACCTCACACCATGATTTTTGTTCCTACAGAATTTCAGGGTTAGGGGAGCGTGGTATAAATTACCTCCCAGAAACCCACAAGTAACATTATCTGTTAAGGTTAAAACTTTGCTTCCCTGGGTGTGCTGCCGGGGTCTCATTACAGCAGGTAATCTCACATTCTGCCATGCACAACACACTAAGTACCGGCATCTCCCAATTACACGGCAACGGAAATCTCAAAGGACATCTGAAAAGTCTGTGCAGCTCCTGCACCCACTGCCGAGACACAACCATCTCTAATGGAGCGTGGCAGCTTTCTCAACTAAACATTCACACGCAGGCCCGGGGATGCTAAGCCCGGCCTTATTCCACACCGAAGAGCAGGTGCTAATTAAAGGGCCACACCGACTCAGGAAATGGCCACCTAGACAACTTCAGACACGGTCTGGAGTTTCGTTTTCCTGTTTCCCAATACGTTCAGCCGTCCAAACTTCCAGGATTACACAACTGACAGAAAGTTGGAGCGGGAGAGACCCTCTGCCTCCTTACGTGATGCCCTGTCTGGACTGGTCTCTTCTCCTCTTCAGCTCCCTGCTCCACTCCTTCCCCAAACCCAAGTCAGAAACATTTCAAGCGAGGAGTCACATGCTCCTTGAGGCCATCTTTCAGCTTCCCCCTCCACCACCAACTCTTCTTATTACCTCTGCACCTCCTTCTAGCTACCGTTCTCTTGCACTTTGCATGCCATAATTTCTATAGTTTGTGGGCCTGTTCACCCTCTAGGTTGTAAATGCCTCTAAGAAAGGGGTCATGCCTCATAACCAGTCACAGGGCCTGGCACCCAGCTCGAGAGGCACCCTTCAAACCTCAGGGTGCCCACCACCTCACAGTTTATGAAGGGCTTGAAGGCCACTCCCACTGGGATATAAAAGATGTTCCTCTGGTGGCCTGGTTACCAAGAAACTTCTGGTTTCTTTGCTCATTGACCTTCTGCCTTTGCCAAATTTTTATGACTCAGAAACCTTTGAGAAAGCACTTAAAAAAACAAACAAAAAAAAAACACCTTCATAACATGAGAGGGTATCTAGGGTTTATCAGTTCTTATCATAATCATTTGGCTATTTTTGGAACTGTTTTTACTTCAGCTGGCAAAACCTAGACATCATATAGGTTGTGAAGCAAAAAATAAATAACTGTCATAATAGTAGTAATGGCTTTGAAATATCTCATCTACGCCAACTTTCTTCTCATGCCTCTTAAGAATTGCCAAGCCCTTCAAATACTGGCAGTTCCATTTATTCAGATCGTCTGATATATAAAATTTGCTGACTTTTCCCCCCTTGAGTTGATACAGATATATGAAAACTGTGAAGCCTTTTTTCTTTGGCTAGAAACGAAGCTTCTCTGCCAGTGAAAATTATAGGGGCATTTTGAAATTACCATATGTTTTAGATCAGAAGGTAAAAACAGTATAGCAGCCCATGAAAACTTTCCAGCCCAGAACGCTGACAATTAACTCACTGAAATACAGTTCAAGCCCTAAGTGCCCCTACTCTTATTGGCAGCGGTCCCGTTTACCATTTGAAAATTCGGTTAGTAAGTTTACTATTTTTATTTTATGTTCATTTACATGTACAATGTGAATGTATATATAGCTACCACATTTAAATAGTTAGCCTAAATGTTATTTTAAACTTAATATTTCCACAGAGCTATTTGATTTTTTTTTTTTTAAATAAAAAGAAACTTTCCTAAAATTCTTAATCGCACTTCAGTGTATATTAGCAAATGTGTGATGCTTGGCTGCTTTGCACACCCACGTGCCCTCCCCTCCGCCCGCCTCCCCCTTTCTGATACCGCACACCACACAAGTATAATAAACCATGTTAATATTTCATACCACTGTGAAATATGCTGGAGTATCAATTCAACATCTGCTGTCTTTAGGGTCCGGGAGTCCCGCAGAGACACTTTCAATTTGTAATTGAGTTCTATGCTGAATTAATCAGCAGTTTATCTTTTTTACTAAAATAACGTCTTCACCACTAACCCAGATTTACATTAACAATTTATGCCAAATTACCTGCCAAGGCAAAACTTATAAGATTCTAAGCTGCCACCCAGTTCCACTCAATCCCGTATTTCACTTCTTCCGCTTCTCTGGTCTGTAGACAAGAAACACAGAAAGCCATTGTTCAGGACCTCGCAAGCCTCTGACACAGATGACCTCTCGGGTGTGGGACACACAGCCTCACTCTGACACAAAATGCAGGGCTGGGGGAGGGAGGGCTCATCCCCTCTCCCCATGAAAAAGCCACTGTTCAGTAAGTGGTTCTGATTCAAATTTTTTACAAAATGAGATCCTAGAATGGAAAGAAATCAATGAATAAAAGAACTTCTTATTTCTTTTCCCAAGAAGCTACAACATTGCAGATCTTGGCTTGGCTTGAACACAGAAAAGGTAACTTAGAAAGAGGGAGTATTTTAGTGCCTTAAACTATGACTCTGACCCAAGTTAACAAAGGCATTTCAATTTGGTAAGAGAAGGGGGAAAGTCCATTTGCTCTTTGATATCATGATGCAGAATAGAGAAATAATATTTTCCTTTTAATTCTACCTGTTCAGTCACTAGACATTTATTTCTATTCAACATCATCCCTGAATCTAGCTCTTGCCTCTCTGAGTGAAGAGTCTCTGGTCACAAAGAAGTTATTTTTGCCTGCTGGATCTTTGCCACAGGTGCAGCAAGCAATACACTTCGTGAAATATTTCTCTTATATGGTATCTTTCCCCTACATTCCAGTTATAGGGAATATGTAAAGTGAAAACATATCAAATGGAACACCTGCTCCAAAGAAATGCATCACAAATAATTATCCATCTACTACAGAATCAAATAACCCCTTTTTTTCAATCTACTTTGCATATGGCTGTACAAGGAACTTCCACCGCCAGACAGAACGAAGAGCCTCTTTCAATACTACCTCTGGGTTACAGCACCCAGTGCAATGCCTTGCATTCAGCTGATCCCCAATAAGTAACTGCTGACTGATTACATATTGACGTCATTTAAAAAAAAAATGAATTCAATACATAGTAGGGTAGAAGGAAAAATTTGCACAGAAATATTTTTGGCAGAAAAAAAATCAATGAAGAATTCTCAAAGTCAATAACTATGTCAGTTATACCATTTGTAGTACTTTCATTACTCCTCAAAGAATTGGAAATAGAGACCTTCAAATTTTATACAAGGTCACTTTCCTAAGATTTGTTGATTCCTGCATTCCAGAGCCTAGGCCCCAGGAGGAATCCATTCCCAGCTCATTGGAGATTTTAGTAAACTATAGCTTTCCTTCTTGGCCTCCTCTCTTCTAAGCCCTTTTTGCTTCCTGATACTAAACAGGAAAAACAGAACAAACTTTCTAAAATTTCCTTCAACCTCCTTATCAAAAAATCGCACTTTGAACTTCAACTTTCATCAAAGGCAGAATACAATGGCAAAGGTAGAAATGATACTGAGCAACCACCATGACAAGGAAGACAGGACTTGGCCAGAGGAACAGACATATAATGGCTATTTCTAAGTCAAGGAAGACTAAGGAATCCTAGAGAACCAAAGAGAGAGAAGCAATTACATGTGAAATTCCAAACTCTTGCGGTAGAGAGCTAAGTCTTGCTTTTGAAGTATCAGGTGAAAAAACAAAGAAAACTTCCATCTGCCTCCTAAAACACCACAAGGTGCAAATGTGAACAAGAAGATCCAAGGGAGTAACCTTCCCTCAAGAAGTCCTTCTGCCTCTCCAAAGTTGGCCTACCAGTGGGTTCAAATTTAGGAGAATAAACTCACTTTTTAAAAGAAAGACAACTCAAAATATCTGATGTTGGTGAGAAGCTTTAACCATCAATATGATCTTCTCATTAATATCTATTCTAAAGGTCAATAGTAATTCTCCAAATCACCCACTGAACAAAATGAGTGCCATCCTCAATATCTGTTCATTTCTAAAATTAACAATTTAACTCTGCTGGGTATGACTACTAAGAATAATTCTAATCAGGGCCTCAGAAATGTTATCTTTGGGTTCTGACATCTCTAAAAATTAACGAATTACATTAAATACAACTAGGGAGAAAATTAATACATTTTTTACCCAAAAATAAAGACAATTT